GACGGGGTAACCACCGCCTGAGCTTCCGACCTGACCTGCGTCCAGAAGTTATGATCTTGTGAAACTCGTGTGTCGGTGAGTACAACTATGTGTGCTGCCTTCCTGACCCACTTTCCACATCTCTCTTGTTTCCCACAGCTACCGAGCCCGTTGATGTTGAGCTCGAGAAAGGTTAAGCTGTTGCGTTTATCCATTAACCACTTCCTTTGAGCCCCACAGCATCCACGGGCGATTGATCTTTATTGCGACGATGCATCCTGCTACAGCGAAGGAGAACATGGCACCTACTACACAACTTGCTCCAAACAACCACGACGTCATCTCATCCGCTAAGCCGCTGGTCACTTCTTTGCCGGCATGGCCATGAACTCCTTTTTGAAAGCAGCCATCTTCTGGGAGTGCTTGCTGGCACGTGTTGCAGCGCCTTCGTTCTTCAGCCCTCCCTTGTGCCTGGCAGAAGCAACATAGGCCGCCGCCTGCTCGAAACGATTCCCCTGAGCCTTCTCGCAAACTGTCTGTACGCACACCCACTCCTCCCGCACACCTCCCGTAGAGGTAAGTATGATTGCGGGATCTTTTAGAATGCGTGTCAGGGACGTTGTGGCTTTCAGGGAAGCCACTGCGGGAGGAGGTGAGGAGACAGTCATCAGTACGATTCGGGAGGCAGGATATGAGCGGACTGGAAAGCGAAGGTAAAGGAAGTGAAAGACGACGAGGGGATGGGGTCTTCCTGCTTATACCGTTCATGTCATGAACCTTTTTGACAGTCAGGTTCCAGTTGGTGAAGTTCTCCTGGCGCGGGGTGACATAATGATCATGGTAACGAGACATGTGCTGACCGCTGCAGAGCTCGCAGGTAAGCGACGGGTAATGATGTTGAAACTAACTGGCAGGAATGGGAATGACTAGCAAGAATGTGAGTACAAGTATGCAACCCTAGAATTTGTGTACCCCCTAAAGGCTAACCCACTGTAGCCTAAACAGACACAACAACAGATATAATGTTTGACACACCCCCATAGGCAAAGTGGGGGAGAACAAGGGGTCACACGACCAGTCATGAGAGCAAAGCAAAGCACAAGCAAGCTCAGGGTGGATCTCAAGGGATACCACACAAATTCCAAGAACAAGAGAGTGGTCACAAGACCAGTTCACATGCAGTTTGATAGTAGAGCAAGAGGTACAGTGATCACAACCTAGCAAGTGAAAGCATGCAGGAATATATATAGAGATCACAGTACAAACAAAGTCAAGAAGTAAGCAAGTGAGGTCCAGTAGGCACAAGGCCTAGAAGAGTACAGAAGCGCTGATGGTCACAAGGCTGAAGCGCCTTGGTGAACACGTCAGCAGTGTTGGCCTGAGTGGCCACGTAACGCAGACAAAGCTGACCACGCTGCTGCAGCTCACGAGCCAGAAAGTACCGCAGAGCGATGTGCTTTGTTCTGTGCTCCAGTCTGTGCTCCTCACACAAGGCAATGGCAGCCTTGTTGTCGACGTACAGCACTGGAGGAGAACGAGGCTGCTCTCCCAAGTCGGTCAGCAGGTAGGTGAGCCAGCGTAGCTCCTCGACCGCCATGGCTGTGGCGTAGATCTCAGCCTCACAACTGGAGCTGAGAACTGAAGAAGAACGTGTAGAACGCCAAGAAACTGAACCGGAGCCAAGGCTGAAGGTGTAACCCTGAGACGACCGCTGAGTGGCCTGGTCGTCCGCCCAAGAAGCGTCTGAGTGTCCAGTGAGAACAACTCGGTCTCGCCCTCCAAGCACTAGCCCCATGCCCGACGTACTGCACAAGTAGTGCAACACCCTCTTAGCAGCATCCATGTGCTCCTTCCGGTGATGGCCAGGAGCGACATAGCGTGCAAGGATGCTAAGAGGGTATGCAAGGTCAGGACGAGTGCAGGTCATCAGGTACATGAGGCAGCCCACAAGCTCTGGATACGGGCCACTCGGCTCTACGGACTCATCCGAAGGCAGAGCTGAGAGCGGGTGACCGGTAGGCAGAGGAGTGGACTGAGGCGAGGAGTACGTGAAGCCGAAGCGCTGAAGGACCTGCTGCACCATGTGTGACTGAGTCAAGGTAATGGTGCGGCGTGCTCTGTCCCGGGTGATCCGCAAGCCAAGGTAGCTTGTCAGTTCACCCAGGTCTGTGCACGTGTGTCTCTTCTGCAGCTCCGACTTCACGTGGGCGAGAGCCTGAGTGTCAGCAGTGGCAAAGACCAAGTCGTCGACGTACACGAGGATGTAGAACGGCGGCAACGAAGTGTCTGTGCGCAGAAACAGCGACGGGTCAGCAGTAGAAGGCGCGAACCCAAGTGCCGCAAGTGTCGTCCTCAGTGTGTCGTGCCACTCACGTGGTGCCTGGCGGAGACCGTAGACCGGCCGGCGGAGGCTCCACTGGGTACCAGGAGGAAACGACCCAGTGAAGCCAGGAGGGCGGCGCAGCCAGATCTCCTCGTGCAGACTGCCCTGCAAGAAAGCAGTGCTGAAGTCAAGAGAGTGAAGCTCGTAGTCACGCTGAGCGGCTATGTGCAGCAGCACCCGAAGAGTGGTCATCTTCGGGGTGGGGGAGAAGGTCTGGAAGAAGTCGACTCCCTCACGCTGGCTGAAGCCTCGAGCAACGTAACGCGCCTTGAAGACAGGCAGAGAACCCGGCGGTCGCTTCACCCTGAAAATCCACATGCCACTGACGATGTTCGCCCCTGGTGGGGGAACAGCGTCGACGTAGGTGCCTGTGGACTTCCAGGAAGCCATCTCTGCGTCCATGGCTGTCTGCCACTGAGAGGAGTAGGGACCCGCTATCGCCTCTGCGTAAGAGCGCGGGGTCGGGATGTCTGGTGCATCCGGGTCTCCCTCAGGGGCAACTAGCATGGACACGAGATGAGGTAAAGCAGCAGCAAAGCACTGGAACTCCTCCTGCCTGTCCTCAAGGACGTCCGTGCCAAGAGCACACTCACCCCCGACGGACGGAGGACAGACAGACCCAGACTCAGCAACTAGGCTAGCGGCGTAGTCGAGACGACAAGCGGCAGCAAAGTCAACTAACTCAGCGACTAGAGCAGACGCAGCAGAGGACTCAAAGGTAGGGTCAGTGACAACAGTAGCAAGGAGACGCGTGACAGTAGGACGGGCAGCACGAAGGGAGTCAGACTCCGGGTCAGGAAGCTCAGGAAGAGAGGACGCAGGAGGAGACGGCAGAAGGACACGCTGAGGAGTAGTGGAGGGACGCAGAGTCATGTAGTGAGTGCCAGGGACAGGAGGAGGACGCTCACGCGGGACACGACGACCAGTGCGAGCAGCACGGACAGGCGACGCAGAGCGAGACGCAGGCGACACAGGACGAGACTCAGGCTCACGACGCTCCGTAAGACCTCCTGTGGGACCAGTGTAAGGAGAAGGACCGGGGAGCGGCGAGGGAGGCGGTAACTGCGACTGCGACGTGACAGGCGGAGGACACTCTAAGGAGGGAGCAGGACAAGGAGGAGGAGGCTGACCAAGAACCTGCTGGAGAAGCGGAACGAAGTACGGTCGGGGCCGCTCAGTGACTCCAGAACCAGGAGAGACGGCACCAGCACCCGCGGCAGCTCCAGCAGCACCAGCTCCAGGGTCCGCAGCACCAGCAGTAGCTCCAACGCCAGGGTCCGCAGTACCAGCAGCAGCTCCAGCTCCAGGGTCCGCAGCACCAGCAGCAGCTCCAGCTCCAGGGTCCGCAGCACCAGCAGCAGCTCCAGCTCCAGGGTCCGCAGCACCAGCAGCAGCTCCAGCTCCAGGGTCCGCAGCACCAGCAGCACCTCCAGCGTCAGAGTATGTAGCACCAGCAGCAGCTCCAGCTCCAGGGTCCGCAGCACCAGCAGCAGCTCCAGCTCCAGGGTCCGCAGCACCAGCAGCAGCTCCAGCTCCAGGGTCCGCAGCACCAGTAGGGCCTCCAGTAACAGCAGCAGCACCTCCAGCACCAGGGTCCGCGACACCAGGCGCTCCACTCCGGAGAGTGCAGCGCCGCTCGTACCACTCGCGGATCCGCTCAAGAGAGGGCAGCTCCCGCTGAGGAGGGGAGGCACCAGCACCAGTCGCAGCAGCACTCCTGGTCCCAGAGGCACCTCTCCGGAGGCTGCAGTACTCTGAGTACCACTCACGCAGTCGCTGCGAGGAGAGAGCTCCCCCAGGCGCAGGACTCCCAGGCTCAGCACCCCCAGACTCAGCACTCCCAGACCCAGAACTCTGCAGCTCAGCACCCCCAAGCACAGCACCCCCAGGCTCAGTACGTCCAGGCTCAGCACCCCCAGACTCCGCACCCCCAGGCTCCGCAACCGCAGGCTCCGCACCCCCAGGCTCAGCACCCCCAGGCTCAGCACCCCCAGGCTCCGCACCCCCAGCAGGACGAGAGTCAACAGCTACCTCAACAGGGTCAACCGGGTCTACCTGGGACACACCTGAGGGAGCGGCACCCTGAGGGGGGAGGGGGTCTACCACAGCAGCACCTGGTGCGAGGAAGAGAGGCGGGGGGGGGAGTGGGGCAGTGCGGTAGGGGAAGAGACGTCCTGAGAGGCAAGGACCCGGCGCGAGGTGGCGTGGTAAAACTGCCAACCAGACGCGTCAGGGACAAAGCCAAGGAAGACACAGGGAACAGCGCGGGTGGAGAGCTTGTCCGCGGAAGCGTCGCGGACAAAAGCTCGAGATCCCCAGACCCGGAAACTCGACAATTACCTGGGAAGACCCTGGGAGGGAGGGAGAGGAGGGAGGACCCTGGGAAGACCAGAGACAAGGTACCTGGAGTGCATGGCCCGAAGGCGCTGCACAGACGGGTGGCCAAGTCGGTGGTGCCAGAGGACAGTCTCGTGCGCCAGAGAGCGACACGAGCAGGGGGCCGACAGCTGACCTGACGCAGACGCAGACGCAGACGCAGCGACCTGAGGGGACTCAGTGGTCAGTGTGTACAGGTCCGACCCCGGCTGCCGAGTGAAGGTAGCCAAGTGGCGGCCCGTACGGGCACACGTGCAGTGCGTCACGCGCTCGTAGGCCGGGGTGAACTGGTGAACACACGCATCCTGAGCGCACACCCAGCCACCAGATTCGTAGAGAACGAGGGGAGGTGGAGACCCCACAATGTGCCCGACGGGACCGCAGGACAGGGAAGGACAGTGGAGGAGGTCGCCACGACCGGTCCCCCGGAGGGGTCAGCGAGAGAGACAGCAACTGGCCGAGCAAGTGGCTCAAGGGCAGTGCGGTCACGAAAGAAGCAGCGAGAAGCACCTGAGTCCAGTGTGAAGGTGTGCAGTGCTGCAGTCGACTCAGTACCAGTGGGCGCAGACGCACAAGCACCTAGAGCAGCAGCCGCACCAGCACCTGAGGTAGCAGACACGCGCGGACCTGAAGCGGCAGACTCACTGGTCCTAATGCCCGGGTCGGGCGGAACACACAGGTACTCGGCACCCTCTCCACTAGTAGACATCACATACATGGCAGTGAGAATAGCATCAAAGTCTAGAGCATAGATATCAATCCCCTTCTTCAGGAGATCAATCCAGCGGGGCAGCTCAGAGGCCTGAGGGAACTGAACACGCCAAGCGTCGTCGAGACGAGAGAAGCAGCGCTGCGCGGTGTGGGCCCTCCCACACGTCTGACCAGCGCGGTCACCAGTGCGGATGACGTACGTGCAGCTAAGCCCACCCCCCCCCCCCCCCGTGCTGAGAGTACCACTCACGGACCTCCTGGGGCGACGGAGTGTGCTGCTGGCTCTGGCCACCGCCAGCGCCTCCACGACCACCACCTCCGCTCCCACCTCCTCGACCACCCCAACCCGCGCCGCCTCCACGTCCACCGCCACCCCCACCACCGCCCCCGCCTCTGCCACCTCCCCCGCCGCTGCCGCCACCCCCCCAACCGCCACCACTCACCCCTCCAGCCCCGCCACCACCCCCACCGCCGCCACCGTCCCCACCACCTCCTCCCCCACTGTGACCTCCGCCTCCCTTGCCCCCTTTGCCCTTGCCGCTGCGGCGTCCGCTCGAAGCAGACGCAGTCCCGACCTTCTCAGCACCAAGGAGGTCGACAGCAGCAGCAGAGGCGACAGAGGGAAGAAGGGGGGAAGGAGAACACCCCTCAAAGAACGGGGTGCGGGGGTCGCCACGAGAGGCACCTACAGCGACTATGCTAGCCTCAGCTGCAAGTAGTTCCTTCTCGAGGAGGGCAATGGTGAGCTCAGTAGGGCAGCGAGCTAGGAAGGAATCCCTGACTGCACGCAGAGAGTCAGGGAGGCGGGTGACTAGGTGGTAGAGAGTGAGCCAGAGCGGGGGAGGGTTCTTGGCAAGGAACTCGGCGGGCATGGCAGCACGGAAGCGGGCCTCACTAGTACGGAGGTGGGTGATGAGGTCAGCGACTGTGTGGAAAGAGGACAGGTCGGGGAACAGGTAGGGAAGCGAGAGACGGCCTAGAGCGGCAGAGGCAGGCGAGGAGTAGCGGGCAACGACAGCTTTGTACAGGTCCTGTGCAGTCTTGTGCTGGCCAAAGTGCTCGCGCTCTTCTAGCGGCAGGGAGTTGCGAATAGCAAAGCGAGCGTGGGCGTCACGAGTCTGCCACTGTGAGCGGGTAGAGCTGTCGGCAGTAGCAGCAGGCGCAGGGGCATGGCCTAGGGCGTGATCGTACAGTGAGATGTCTTCCTTGGCAGTGAGCTGTAGGAAAAGGTGCAGGTCATCTAGCCAGGTGTCAAATTTCACTGGACGTCCCTCAGTATCGAAAGCTAGCACGGGAGGACTAGCCATAGTAGCAGTAGCAGCAGTAGCAGTAGGCGCCCCCTAACAGTAGTAGGTAGTGCGACCCAGGGAGGGCGGCTCGGCGCAGGTAGGGCGGCGCGGCTCGGTTAGGGCGGCGCGGCTCGGTTCGGGCTGCGTGGCTCGGTTAGGGCGGCGCGGCTCGGTGCGGGCGGGGCCGTCGCGGTCGCGTGCGGGGCAGGGTAGGGGCAGTGGGTGGGGTCGACGGGGCCAGCGGGGCCTCTAAGGGGCGGTACGCGGGGTCGACGGGGCCCCTAGCGGGCGGCGCGCGGGGCCGACGGGGCCTCTAAGGGGCTGCGACGGGGCCGTAAGGGGCCTCTAGGGGCGAGCGCGGGGCCGTAGAGGGGCCGATAGGGGGCGAACGCGGGGCCGACGGGGTCGCTAAGGGGCGGCGCGCGGGTCGCTAAGGTGCGGGTCGCGGGTCGCGGGGCCTTAGGGGGCCGTGAAGTACGAAGCGCTCTAGGGCGCAGGTAGGTAGGTAGGTAGGTAGGTAGGTAGGTAGGTAGGTAGGTAGGTAGGTGGGCCCTAAAAAAAAAACGGTCCTAGCGAAGGACCTGCTCTGAAACCATGTTGAAACTAACTGGCAGGAATGGGAATGACTAGCAAGAATGTGAGTACAAGTATGCAACCCTAGAATTTGTGTACCCCCTAAAGGCTAACCCACTGTAGCCTAAACAACAACAACAGATATAATGTTTGACAAATGAAGCAGGTAACGCCTGCCAATCGATGGGTCCTCCACAAAGTACCTCCAGCGGTACTCATCATCAGCATGAGGAATAAACAGGCCGCGGATGCGATCGGTGTCCAACCCAGTGACCGGGTCAACAGTACGGTGAAAGCCGAAACCACTGGCGTAAGTACTCCGACCGCGCTTAACCAGCTTCGACACCACTAGCAGGTGACGTATCAGCTCAGCAGTAATATCCGCAGGGACTCCTTTGACAATGATCTCTTTCGCCGTCGGATTCAGCAGCCGCTCACGAAGAAAACGTGCGTCTTCAGGATGCTGCCAGGTAAAGTCAACGATGTCGCCGTTTGCGCATTCATGCCTGACGACCTGGCTCCAGACAAAATTCGCGTCGCGGACGTGGTTGAAGGTAACCTGAAGGCGACCATAACGCGTGCCGGAAAAATAAGTCGCGATAAGCTCCTGATAAGTCGTTGTCTGCAGCACATCAGGCGACAACTGATCCTTCCAATCATCCAGCAAGGCAGCCACGGTTACAGCCGTCCGCTTAACTTCAGGCTTCCTGTTAAACGGCACCAGCAGGGTTAGTGAAAACCTTTTCAATGCGATAATGCTGCCAAGCGAAGCAGGTTCCAGGTGCTCGTCGGAGTCGTCACTCAGGTAACCATCTCCGTCATCGTCGGGAGCCCGATCTGACAAGGCATCCTCACCCTCCAACGCGTCTGCATCCGCATCAGCCTCCCCCGCAGCAGCCACCTTCTCTTCCTCATTAGTAGTGGTGCCAGTGACCCCATCTGCGCCAGCACCATCTTGCTCAACGGTGAGATCAACCTTGTTCTGCAAGTCCAGCAGATCCTCAAAGGGACCAAGCACCACAGGCGACGAAGAGGAAGATGGCATACGCCCTTTGTCCGCAGCATCCGTCACAGGAACAGCAGGTACGTTAGACATTTCAGCCTCCTTGTCCGTGTCCACCGCCTTCTTGCCAGTCTTGTTGGTGCGTCCTTTCCCCATAGTGCGATGATGAGAGAAGCTTGTCAGCCCGTTTGAGGCTGAGGGACAAGCCGGACTGAGCACATCTGATGATGAAACTGATTGTCTGTACTTCTTATGCTTGAAACTGAAGCGCTGCAGGTCCAGGCCCGAGGAGGACGTCTGAACCTTAGGGAACGTCATAGAGCCGCGCTGAAAGAGAACCGCGTGAAATGTTGAAACACTGAGAATGACAGCCTTGAAAGTAGCGCGAGATGATGACAGTGCCAAGTGTAAGGCGCGATGATATCCATTGGAAAGCTTAGAAACTTGATCGTAGCGTTGTACAATAGATAGCCTTGATGATGCTTGAAACACTGACGACAGCCTGGAACTCGTGTAAAGGGTAATTAGGTTCCCGTAATGAACACAAAAATCACACCAATGTGTAGAGCTTAAAGCCGCGCGTCGTCTGAGTGCCACAATGTCAGTATCAGGCTGGAGATTGATGCACATTGCTGTAGTTAAAGCTCTCCGCCATGGCCATGGCTGCATTGTCATTGTCATTGTCATTGCCATGGCTTCTGTTCCGTTGCTGCAGGCGTTCGTCGCGTATGCTCCCAAAATTGCTGGGGGTGCGGAGGGTGAGGCATACACTTGCGCGCGCCGTTGAGCATGTTCATTTTCACCTGCGACAGCAGCGCACCTGCGCCAGGCGGGATGCTCTGTTTCACCCCTTTTTTCGTGAACTCCCTCCGACTTCGACAGAACATGCTAGAATTTTTAGGACGTGGGCCCAATCGAGTTTGATCGTCTCAATCACAGGCGACCATTAAGGGCGTGTGTGGTCTTCGAAATTTGTAAAAGTTTATGTTTTCAGGGCGAATTTTGCGAAACGAACTTAAGTCGAACGAAATTTGACTTTCCTTGTATCAAAGTTCCAACATCAGGTCTACAACACAGTAAAAAAGCACACACACATACAAGGTCGAACCCCGACATTCGAACTTGTGAAAAACGAGCTGAGCCGCACGTGGTCAATATAGGTTACCCGGATCGTTACAATATAGGTTACCCGCAAAAATCTGGCCACGTGGCTACCACTCATTGCACCAAATAGTAGAGTAACTTCGTTGTGCCATTTCAGTCACTCGCGAAGCGGTCACCCGTTTCACATGCGTTTTGTACATGCTACAAATCACACACGCTCGAATGAAGGTGCGTACGCATGTTCACGACTCCAACTCGAGTCAAGTTCAGATTTCGAACTCGAACTTTTACGTGCCCCATAAAATAATGTTTCGCCAATTTGTTTCGGCGAGATTTGCGAAACGGGTAACCACCCAAAGTTCGAACTGTTTTTCCAGACTTCAAAACAGATCACACGCGCTTTAATTTCTAGAAAGCCTGGAAGCCAATTTCAGGTAATGGGGGGCAATCAGCTGATCGCGATCAACTGATCGCTCCAACTCGATCAGGTAAAGTGAGCCAAAGTCAATGAGAAATTCTACAATTGCCGCACAACAACGAATCACTCTTTGTTGAGACATTGTTTCGCGCCCAAACTGTCACAGGCTGCGACTGTCAGGGCCAAGACCGTCCACTGCTTGACGAACCACACTTTACCACGAGTCGTGCACAGAATGTCAGTCGCGCGAAACAAACTGTTACACAAACCCCTCGCCACACCCACTTCCACCTCGGATTATCATGACCACGACGTCTTCGTCAGCGTCGTCACGCCTCGCCAACATGTTCTTCTGTTGCGGGTGCCCAACCTGCCTTTTCCTGGTTGTGCTTTTCCAAATTTCTAGGGTTCACTGGGAGTTGCAGGTATTTTCGAGGTTGTTATCTACCAGCAGCAGCAGAACTGCTAGGCAATTCTTTATAGCTCCCGCCGACAGCCTCAGAACCGATTTTCATCCCGATCAGAGTCGATTTTCCTCATCACAAAAATCATATGATTAGAAACCTATTGTAAAGGTTGTTGCGAAGTATTTTCAAATGCTTTTAAAACGTAGTGTCCAAGACTCTTTTCGGTGAAAGTAGACACATTTTTTCGAATGCTTTGTCGAATGCTTTGCAGGTCACGACACGTTTGAATTACCTTCGGATTAAGGCTGGTCCGAGTTTCGACAAAGATGTATAAGACTTCTTTAGGAGTGTTTTGGGAGATTAAATTCCACCCAATATACTCTTTAGCAGAGCTTAGGACCAACGTTCAATAAGATTGTGTAGGAACCTTCATCATGCGTTTCTCGTTGTTTCATGGAAGGTCTAGGAGCCATTGGTAGGTGTACACGCACATCATGAATGCATTACTAAATGATCATTAATCTCGTTACAGAGTTGGCTTGGCACACAAAACAACTTCCTAAACACGCTTTGCGTAGCCCCGCTAGGATGGATTAATCTGCACCATCCTCCTACCTACTTCGCAAGCCACCATCGGATGTGTCCCCGCCCCATCTCTTGGGCTCTTGGCCTAGAGATTTCTTGACTACAGACACTGCTCCACCTAATGCTAACCTGCACGGCTACACACTTCCTGTCTCCTCCCTTGCCTATACTCCGGCCTCCTTGCTGTCTCCACGCATTGCCTCTACTGCTGCCCCCCTTGCGGTCTCATCTCATGCTTGCTCCTGCTGCTCCATATTGGGCCTCTCCTGGAACTTCCCTGTTACCTCCCCTGCTACCCCCCCTGCTGCTACTCATATTGGCGCCTCCACTTCTCCTCCACTACCGACACCCAGGGAACCTCCAAATATACACTCCCTCCCCTGCTGCCATTCTATGTTGCCTCCCCTGCTGCCTCTCTCTGTTGCCTCCCCTGCTGCCATTCTATGTTGCCTCCCCTGCTGCCTCTCTATGTTACCTCCCCTGCTGCCATTCGATTGCTGCTCCCCTCCCCCCTGCTCCCTCCCTTTGTTGCCTCCCCTGCTCCCTCCCTTTGTTGCCTCCCCCGCTCCCTCCCTTTGTTGCCTCCCCTGCTCCCTCCCTTTGTTGCCTCCCCTGCTCCCTCGCTTTGTTGCCTCCCCTGCTCCCTCGCTTTGTTGCCTCCCCTGCTCCCTCCCTTTGTTGCCTCCACCGCTGCCTTTCTATGTTGCCTCCACCGCTGCCTTTCCTTGTTGACTCCCTGCTGTCTTTCCTTGATACCTGCCCTGCTGCAGACCCCAACTGTTTATACGCCCCTGCTCTCCCCATTAACCGATACCCTCCTGCCTCACCCGAGGCCTCTCCAACTGCCTCCACTGCCACCCGCCCTGCTTGCCCCCTTGTCTTGCCGGCCCATCACTTTCCCCCCTGCCTCCTATCCTTTTGCCTCTCTTGTGCCTTCTGCTCTCTCTCCACCCCTTCCCCCCCTGCTCATCATCCTCCTCTTCCTCTTCCTCCTCCTCCTCCTCCTCCTCTTCCTCCTCCTCCGCATCCTCCTCTTCCTCCTCTTCCTCCTCTTCCTCCTCTTCCTCCTCTTCCTCCTCTTCCTCCTCATTATCATCCTGAGCCGTCCTTCGAAACGCCTCAAACCCAGACTCATGTACATATAGCCCACGCGTGCCCCACTTGAAGCCCTGCAACTCTGCGTTGTACACGGGGGTGTGACGTGTAAAGTGATTCCTAACAATCCCCCGCACCCCCCGACTCAAACTTGTCATCCATCTAGTGTTTTTTTCGGTGGAATTCGCCAGGTTCATGTCGGTCTTCTTGACGCGCGCCAAGCCTTGATCAATCTGAAATGGGTTTGAATTACAGGGATCAGCAACAAGGCAGAGTTGGGGTTTTACATTGCAAGCCCCCGAGGGTCCCAAGTCGTGGAAAATGCAATAGAAAGGATCGAGCACTAGGACAAGTAAATGTGATTTACAGAAACAGTCTCACCACCATGAGTGACCAGGCTATGTGGTACGTTTTTAGGGCCAGCCTGCGCCCAACAGCGTAATCCCGAAATGATGCCTTCACCGCATTCACAAACCGGGCGTTGGCAAAAGGGAGCCCGGATCTGTCGTTGCCCCACGAGCTGACCCGCTCATTCCATCCTACACGCATGCACAACCAGGTGTGGAAGCACAGTGCATGTTTGATCATCAAGTGGGGCAGGCAAGGTTTGGAGGTAAGTTTCGGCATCCTAAGTAGGGGCAGGCAGGGCAGACAGTTTTGTGTGAGGATCCTGAGGTGGGGTAGGCAGGGCAGACGGGTTTGTGACCATGACAGGATGGGGCCGGGTTAAGGTTATGGAAGTACGATCAGAAAAGACAAAGGGAATGAGCAACGGGACGAACATATCGTATTTGCAGCGGGATAGCTGGCCATCATGACTCACTCGGTTTGTATTTCCGCCACAGCCTCTTCTTCCTCTTCGTGCTCAGCGTGATCTCGGCTGCACGCAGCCCATCAACCCTCACTCCGAACTTCTCGAGCACACTGCGCTTGACTTGGAAGCCCCGTTCATTCTTCCATGCTGTCCACACGCGCTTAAAGACGGCAACGACGTTCTGGTCTTTCATTGTCTCTTTCAGCTGCATGGGGGAAATGATGTGGGTCTCACTGATGACGCCATATAGAACCTGTAGTCGCTGATCAAATGATGGGTACCAGTCAATCGCATGATCCGGCGCATCCATGCACATCCGGTCCCGCGCCTCGACGAAATGAAGCTACAATGGACGGGAGGATAGGGGAAGATGAAATCAGTGGCAAGGGGCAAGCACGTCAAACGTGGGGCGGGTAGAGGGGGTTATAATTAACATCCATTACATGTGGGTCAGAAGTAGGGCAGGCAGAGGGGGTTAGAAACGTTATGCTTGACCATGTGGGGCTAGCAGGGGGGTATAAAAATAACCATGAGTAACAAGATGCTTGCAGGGGGGTTTAACATGAGCATGAATAGCAAGATGCTGGCAGGGGGGTTTAACATGAGCATGAATAACACGGTTCTGGCAGGGGGGTTTAACATGAGCATGAATAACCAAGGTGGGGCAGTCAAAGGGGGGTTAATATGCGCACTCATATGACAGTTGGTACACATGCCTTTGTCTTTGAAAGCAACGCAGAGTGCCACTCACACTCACCCTCAATTTCTCGAGGCTGGGCATTCCATGCCTGCGCCGAATGGGCTGGCCCTCTGTCGGTGTGCTCTCCTCAGCTACCCCGGGACTGAGGCCCCCAGATGATGGGTCACTCCACATAGATGCCCCCGGAGGAACCCGGGAGGGAGGACCGTGGTTTTTGACGCCATGGCAAACTGGTTTTGCCTTGAGGGCTGCTAGTTCGCTGTTTGCTAGCTCTAGCTCTCGCGTGAGCTCTTCCACCATCTTGGGGCGAGCCGGATTGAGACGACCTGATGCACCGGGCGTGCATATGTTCTCACCCCTCCCCTCGTTCGTGTGTGCATCCCTTTTCAAGATGTAGTCGTCGCCCCTTGCGTCACGTTCATCGTACGGAGACCCAGCCATAACTCCGCCACACTCACTCAATGCATTTGCCCACATCCCACATGCCACACCGTCGTTTGCTGCTGCGGCCGTTGCGTCACCGTATCGTTTGGGCTTGAAGTCACCTTTGTCAGGATCCGGTGAACCCCGAGGCTCGACAGGCTTCGCAGGCGGGTCTTTTCCCTCCTTGTTATGACGCCAGGACCCTGTGGGCAACGGGTCTGCTCCTTTCCCAGCAGTTAGTGATGGCCCTCTGAGAGCAGCGTAAGGGTCCGCGCGATCGTCACGCGAGCTTCGGGGCATATCCTTACGATCAAGAGATCTAGTAGTAGCAGCAGTTGCTTTCACTCCCATCTCCGCATAGAATTCAGGCTCGGGCTTCACTTTGGGGCGCACACGGACAACCTGGGCAGCGCCACGGCATCGACCGTTGTTGCCATGCGATTTCCCACGACTGTCGCGCCCCTTACGGCCCTTGTCACGACCCTTGCCACGGTTCCTCTTATCCTTGCCATTCTTGGGCCGCCGATCACGCCCCTTTCTCTTCGGACGCACCTCATCCGCCTCCTCGCTTTCGGGCTCTAGATCCTGATCCTCACTCTCCTCCTCTTCCTCGTCTCCATAAACCTCCTCGCTGCTGGATGAACTACCAAATTCCTCGTCGCTGGATCCCTCCTCGGAACCGGACGAGGAGCTGGAAGCGTAGCGTTTCCGTCCCTGGCGAGCCTGCCTCATTTTTTTGTCAAGACCGCCCGTGTCAACCGCCTTGCGCCACTTGTACGTGACTTCGGTCCCTCGTGCCTTACCCTCCCCATAACTGTCGCCCTTAGCGACTTCTGTCCCTCGTCCGTTACCCACCCCATTCCTGTCGCCCTTAGTAACTTCAGTGCCTCGTCCCTTACGCTCCCCATCACTGTCGCCCTTAGCGATTCCTGTCCCTTACCCCCCCCATTCCTGTCGCCCTTAGCAACTTTGGTCCTTCGTCCCTTACGCTCCCCATCACTGTCTCCCTTAGCGACTTCCGTCCCTCGTCCCTTATCCACCCCATTCCTGTCGCCCTTAGCAACTTCAACCCCTCGCCCCTTACGCTCACCATTACTGTCGCCCTTAGCGACATCAGCCCCTCGTCCCTTATCCTCCCCATCTTTGGCAGGCCCACCCTGAAGCACGTTGTCGCCACCGGCCGCTACCGCCTTCTCCTGCCGATGAAAAGAACAACCCTTCTCCACCACACCCCTCCCCTTCTTGCGCTTTGCTCTCGCTTGCGGGTGACCCTTCTCTTCTGACTCGCCTGTCAAAAGCACCAATAGAGCAAAATGAGTTTCACACGTGCCGTTAGCGGGATTGGCAGTAACAACATATAGGCATCCCAGAAATTACAAAACGAGCCAGAGAATTACTGGTGGGATATAGTGAACGCGTACCTTTCTGGCCTTTTTTGGGGTGCATTCTTCTAACTTCTTCATACGCTTTTCCCTCCATTTCGAGGGCGAGGAAATAGCCTTGTTTGCGTATGGCTCCTCATCGCCGTCACGGCTGGAGTCGTTTTCAGATGAAGAATCGCCCCCTGACTCGTTGTCGTTGCAAGCTTTGGACGGATGTCTCCTACGATACTCCTTGACGACTTGGGCAGTTTTCTCTGCTGTTACTATCTCCATATATCTCTTCTCATCTGGAGATTTGGTAGAACTAGGCAACTCCACAGCCCCTACCTGCGCGTTAAGGGTTTGAGCTTGAACTGTTGGATCTAGGTTCTCACCTATGAGTGGCGACTTAGTGAACATAGGACTAAGAACATGACTTGACTCACCGGATGATACTAGCATTAAGACGCGGCACCTGTTTCCCAGGAGGCACGATCGATCCTGGTTGGGGATCGATGTGCCGTGTGTACAGTGTACTGGCGACATCGCGCATACCTGGTTTCCTGCTTTCGCTAAATCGCCAATATATACAGTAAACACAAGTGATGAAGTGGTGGCACCCGCAGCTCGCACGATCGATGTGCCTGTGGGCACACATCGATCTTGGTCTGAGCAGGCGGGATAGTACATCGCGCCACAGGTGACAACCAAGATCGATCGGCGTCGCCCTGAGTTGCAGGCTGAAACTGAATGAGTCGCTGCAACTACCAACGAACATTCTTTGTGCTAGGGAATATGGGCGTGCTTGCACATCGGGAAGGTGGTTTGATTTGATTGGGGCCCAAGTCGCCCAGGCCGTGCTGTGCGACGACCAGGTGTTCTGTGATTGGATGGATTTTCAGTGTGTTGTAAATTACAGCAACGCACTTGCTAGGCCAATCCTGCATTGTCGATCCTGGCACTTGAGGCTCGAAGTGTGTATCACACTTCAATTTTGCAGTGTGGGCACATCGATGTGCCACTCGATGTGCCAGGATCGGTGTGACTGCCCGATCCTTCCCCGATCCTGGAAAAACACAAACAGGTGCCGCGTCCTAAGTATCAGTTGGTTGGTGAGGTCTGAGTACCATAAAGGGTGGTGGAGCAGGTGTACGTGATCCAACCAACACGTGATGAGGGTTTGAACATGGGATTGCAAGAAGCACGATGGTCCTTCCAGATCCACCGCCTCTCCAGAGCACAGATCCATGGTTTGCTACTGTAGATAGGAGAAAGTAAGACGGACACGGTCAGAGCTGATGATGCAGTGGCCAATCTGAGTGCTTAAACTGCACTCGTGTTCGCGCCACTGAATGTTAAATACGTTGGATTTCTTGTGCGCGCTACTGACTGTTTTGCAGCTAAGTGCGAAAAGAACGGTCTACAAGAAGTATACTTGCGGCAGCGAGGTGAGAGTTTGCTCTGCCCGACTGCCTCGTATTGCTGATTTGCAGGCGACTCGACAGGTGCCGCACGTATATTATCACAATCGTCACGAACAACACCCGATTAGCAGCTGCGACTACTCAGCAAACTACGTGAGGGAGGGAGGAAATAGAACCTGAGGTCGCGCAAAGTCGTGCAGCCAAGGACGACAGGTCGACACTGCGTATTGTGCAAGGGAACGCGGAGTCGAGAGTCGCTTGACAGCGATTGCGACTCGTTCGCTCGGCTTCGTGGTGTGATGATGAATGCAGGTGGATTATGCGTGATGTGCGTGGCTCATCCGAATTCGTGCACGTATAAACGCCTAGTCCTGATATGCAGTTGTATATGTATGTACTACTACCTTGTTGGATTTTACAAGTATAATCGGTTAGAATCTCCTCTCCTATCATTTAGTTCAAACATTCCAGTCTCGTCTTTATATCACCTGGGACATACAGGATAGTAACAAATAACCCTCCAAGACACATCAACATGATGCACACAGAGACAATCTGGTTGTTGGTTTAAAATCGCTACTCGAGGCAATGTAACTTACATGTCGAACAGCCTTACAATCGGGACAAAAGTACCATATAATGTACCTATGGGTTGTGATTATCTTCATGTTTAGACGTGTGACTTTCATACTAGAATAATATCATTAAGAATCCTGTTTGCATGCAAATGAGACACTTGTTGTTCTCACTGGTAAACGGAGACATAGCCAATTGCCTTTTGCAATGCCCGTAGCTGAAATGCAATTTTGGTTGGAACAACATAAAGTAGTAGGGATGAGTGTGATGACCAGGTCCATACTCCTTTCACCACATCTCCCCGTTCTCAGCACCTCTCCATTCTCAACACCTCTCCGTTCTCTGCACCTCTCCGTTCCCTGCACCTCTCCGTTCTCAGCACCTCTCCATTCTCAGCACCTTTCCTTGCTCTGCACTTCTCCCTTCTTTGCAACTGTCAAATCTCTGCGCCTCACCATTCACCGCACCTCTCTGTTCTCTGCACCTCCCCGTTCTCAACACCGCTCCGTTCTCTGCACCTCTCCGTTCTCTGCACCTCTCCGTTCCCTGCACCCTGATGTTCTCTGCACCTCCCCGTTCTATACACCTCTCCATTCTCTGCACCTGTCAATTCTCTGCGCCTCTCCATTCACCGCACCTCTCCGTTCTCTGCACCTCCCGTTCTCTGCACCTCTCCGTTCTCTGCACCTCTCCGTTCTATACACCTCTCTGTTCTCTGCACGTTTCAATTTCCTGCGCCTCTCCACTCACCGCACCTCTCCATTCTCAGCACCTCTCCGTTCTCAGCACCTCCCCGTTCTCAGCACCTCTCCGTTCTCAACACCTCTCCGTTCTCTGCACCTCTCCGGTTCTGCACCTCTCCGTTCCTTGCACCCTGATGTTCTCTGCACCTCCCCGTTCTATGCACCTCCCAATCTCTGCACCTGTCAATTCTCTGCGCCTCTCCATTCACTGCACCTCTCCGTTCTCTGCACCTCCCCGTTCTCTGTACCTCCCGTTCTCTGCACCTCTCCGTTCTCTGCACCTCTCCGTTCTATACACCTCTCTGTTCTCTGCACGTTTCAGTTCCCTGCGCCTCTCCACTCACCGCACCTCTCCATTCTCAGCACCTCTCCGTTCTCAGCACCTCCCCGTTCTCAGAACCTCTCCGTTCTCAACACCTCTCCGTTCTCTGCACCTCTCCGTTCTCTGCACCTCTCCGTTCCCTGCACCCTGATGTTCTCTGCACCTCTCCGTTCTATACACCTCTCTGTTCTCTGCACGTTTCAATTCCCTGCGCCTCTCCACTCACCGCACCTCTCCATTCTCAGCACCTCTCCGTTCTCAGCACTCCCCGTTCTCAGCACCTCTCCGTTCTCAACACCTCTCCATTCTCTGCACCTCTCCGTTCTCTGCACCTGTCGATTCCCTGCGCCTCTCCTCACACCACAGCACCTCTCCGTTCTCAGCACCTCTCCATTCTCAGCACCTCTCCGTTCTCAGCACCTCCCCGTTCTCTGCACCTCTCCGTTCTCTGCACCTCTCCGTTCTATACACCTCTCCGTTCTCTGCACCTGTCAATTCTCATTCGCAGCACCTCTCCATTCTCTGCACCTCTATCTCGTCTCAGTATGCGCCGTCTGTGCCCTCAGGCGTAACGCGTTATGCGTGTGTGCACGAAAGCGGAGCAGCTAACAACAAGACACCCCACCCGTAAGTAAGGGAATCCAGTTCATAGAGTCTGTTGCTTCACAACTCCACATTCGCCGGACCCATTCATCTACCATATCTGCTGAAAGTTTATCCATATTTCATCGACATGTTCATCCGGCTGACAAGCTGGCAAAGAAACCTAGGTGTATACCAAGGAGGAGGTAGCGAGGCAAAACAAGAGGGATGACTGCTCAGTCGTCATCAATAACCAGGTGCTTCCTGAATCTCACGTGCCTCACATGCCTCACATGCCAGCACTATGCCTCACATGCTAGCCCTATGCCTCACATGCAAGCACTATTCCTCACATGCTAGCACGATTCCTCGCATGCCACTCAAGCCTCACGTGCCTCACATGCCACACGTGCCTCACATGCCTCACGTGCCTCATGGGCCTCACATGAGCACCGCCTCGCATGCCTCATATGCCTCAAGCCGCACATGCCAGCACGATGCATCACATGCCTCACATCCCTCCCATGCTTCACACACCTCACATGCCCTTCATACCTCACGTGCTTCACATGCCTCCTCCTCCTCCTCCTCCTCCTTCTCCTCCTCCTCCTCCTCCTCCTCACTCCTCCTACTCCACTACCTCCTCCTTCTCCTCCTCTTCCTCCTCCGCCACCTCAGCCTCCGCCTGAGTCAAATGTTGATTCAGCGCATTTTCGTGGAAGAAGACAGACCACTTCTTCAAGTCGCGAAGGTACTGTCAGCGCCACTTACTCGGTGTACCCATAAGCTTACACGCACCCATATTCCGGAACTCGTTTTCAACAAGTGTGTGCATCACGCGCATCGTGAACACACCGCAGTCATTCTCATTAGCCTGCGGCGGAATCTGACAAAACATAGTGCACATACACGTGGCTGGTCAAGGTGGGACGTTGATTCAGAGCATGCATTTGAACAGAAGGGATCAGAGGTCACCTTGACGACGCGCCGAGGGATGCTCGCAGCCCAAGCATCTGTGTCCGATTCAAGGATCCAGGTTGACACTCTCATCACCTCGTTTTTTAAGTACCTGAATGACGGTGCACAAAGTCACGATTTAAATATACGAATTCTGCGATAAAGCGCACGCCATGACGGTACCTTCGCAATGGGGCGTCCACAGATTCGTGTGATCCGTACGAATCCGCATGCCAGAGAACGCAGGTCATGGGTATGTTGTCATCTGGTTCGGGGATTATCTCAATGACGACCAAGCTCCAGTGGTTCCTATGACAAAACGATGAGAGACTATGTTAGTAATAGACGTGGCTAGGTTACTAACAATATCGCTGAAATTCACGCTACTGAAACCTACTCGCTGTTGATAGGGACGAGAATATAGCTGAAGTCAAAAATCCCCATCCCAAATGTATATGCGTTTTCGCGCTTCGAAGTGTCCCTTCCAGCATAGTCCCAAAAGTAAGATCCACTGTAAAGCCACATTTTGTTGTCGCGACCGTGCTCGTATTGAAGCATCCTGTGGATGATGAAACAGAACGCATTAGACGAGGAGTAGGACCTCCAAATTTCCCTCCTTTGGCTTCTTCTGAAATATATTATCTTTACTCACACTCCCAGCCAATCGATGACGATTCCGGTCACCCATTCTCCGGGTTGAAGCTTGTTAGCATGTTCTGCACTAATATCTAGCCACCCTCCTCCAAATGGGAAGGGCATGCTAATCGGTTGAAATCGGGAATCACATGCTGCATCTCGTGAAGCCATGGAATGGATTACCAGCGACGCAAAACAATGCTGGTTGAGAGATTCAGTCAACGCAGTGTAATCTGGCTGCTGGTGCTATCCCTGGAACCATCTGAGATCATCTGGATTTTGAAGAGGCATCCCCCAATGGTGTGGTCCGAGGCTCACGTTGTGGTGCTGCCTTTGGGTCCGTCAGATTCCAAGCGACGTGGATCTACCGTAACATGAATTGTGCTAACCCTCGATTGCCTCCCCTCACCAGTGACTCTGCAGGGGTTTCTGATTCTCGCTGCACTGGAATGCCCAGTCAGCAGTGGCCAACCAATGTGCGCTCCTATGTTTTCGGAAATAATGCAGGAAACACATAGCTCCAACATGATGTGATTGTTTTCTACGGCCAGATTTGTGTGACAAAATGTAAGTGGGCTGATTAGGGTTCCACTCTGCCCAAGGTTGCGGGACACTGGGCGGGATTATACGTGATTGGTCGAATTTTTAGGGTTGTCAGAATCATGTCTGGGTTTGGTGTTTGGCCACCCAACACGTGTATCCTGCACACACGATATCCTGGAACCCGTGAGTTTCTGGAAACTTCAAGAGTCCCGGAAGGTTTGAAGCAATATTCACCTTGCAGTCGGTGTTTACACATACCACGTTGTCAACTAGTTGTTCCTCTTAAAAGAAAGAATCCGTAGCGTGGGGCTGTTCATTCGTCTTTGCAGTGTGGGGTGCCCTATCCGCGGCGCTTAGTAACATAACACATGTGGACAACTTTCATTCCGCAGCCTGCCCGGGATGTTTTTGTGCGACGGAGGGCAACCCTACATGTCATGGCAAGGTGATATTTCCGAACATACGGGGGCTCTGAGCTGCAGCCTGTCCGCGAACATCGATTCCCGCCAAAATAGGCCAAGCCAGCTCGATTCCAAATGGGGAAAAA